ATAGACACCATGGTTGTTTGTATTCTTTTCTCTATCCAGTCATTCCTAAGATTTTAATTAAAGTACTGTTCCCCAAGTACGCAAAGATTGGCACTGATTAGCAGCACTTGGAGATTTTTCCGAATATCTTAGTCCTGCCTTTTCTAATGGATCATTTCAGTGTGGTTTGGGAAGAACATTGAACATTGTGGCTGATGCACAAATTGTGTATGTATAATTTTCCTCTCACCAGTACCTTCCAGTCCTGCAATCTATATAGAATGGTTGACTTGTAGTGTTTGCAGTTGATAGCTTATAACCTTATATGAAGAGCACAGCCCAGGTTTCTTTTCAATATATGTACAGTTCTGAAACAATTGGAGGTTCTGTGTTGTGCAGACTGTACAGGACAGCCAACCAAGTGAATTTAGTCGAGCTTGAATGCAGCAATAAGGTGCGACTCTACCCTGCCTTCTTCCTTCAGACCAGTACAGCTAACTACTTCTGTACAGAGAAAAGAGTGACCTGAAATTAATAGCTGGTTTGGTTCAGTATTTTAGCCATTGGTACATAAAAAAAAACAAATCTTTCCTTCAAAAATATTCATAGAGAAGAAATCAGCAAGACTTTGTATATGCACTTTGTTTGGTGCATGCAGGCAACAGTGAATTTGTCCAATACTCTTGGCTAGCTGAGGTGAAGTATACAAATCGGAATATATGGAAATTCTTATATATGGAAACTTGCTTACAAAAGAGGTGACTTGCCCTAGATGGCTCAGGGTAGTGAATCGAGAACTACTGTATTTCCTTGAATCCAAGACAAGATTTTTCTTAATCAGCATGGGGAAGGAGGGGAACCTCATCTTGTATTCGAATACCTGCCTGGGGTTGGCATCAGCTTAGCTTCTGGCTTTGGCCGCCTGCTTTGGCACAGGCACTGTAGCGGCAGGCAGCAGAGGGATGCATGGCAGGGGACAAGTGCCAGGGATTTGGCCATTCAACCTTGCTGCTGCTTTCTCCACTTCAGCAGTGCAGGGTACAGATGGTGGGGGGAGAGGTAGATGCATTTAAGATGACTTTCCACTAATTGGATTTTATACATTGAAAATTATATAGAATCTAATTATTGGAGGGATCATCTTAAATTCAAAGTTGTCTTGCATTCAGGCAAATGGAGTAGCATTCCAAGTATCTTGACTCTGTTCCATCTTATCTTGTCTTCTGGGCTATGTAGTTTGAGAGGGTTTTGAAGATGGACACCTTTTCTTTCACCATGTCTGTCCAGTGCAATGATTACTTTTAAGAAGAGGTGTTCTGTCCAGCTGAATAAACTTCGTGCCCCACTTAGTAAGAAAGGGTGCACGTTGTAGTGCATGTTCACTGTATAGCAGACTAGTTGTTCTTTTATTGGAGCAGTTCAAGCTTCACTGCAGGTTAAAGCACTTGCAGCAAAATAGGAATTGGGGCGTGATTATTTTGTGAAACAGGGAAGTAGATCCTAAAGTACTAACAACAAGCCTCCTTCATCACTGCTTAAATTGGAGACCGGGGAATCAAATTTGAGTACTTGGATTGCTTGTGGGCTGCAGAGGCATAAACTCCCAGTACTTGAGTTTGCTGCTGAATCTTTGCCTGTACTGACTACAGCAAGGAGACTAAGGTGAAGCAGACTTCCAGATTTTATTGGACTCTTTCCTACCCCCCCAACCCCTCTTCCCAATCTCATCTAACATGCCAAGTTACGTCTGGGTTACAATGGTGTAGTACTGAAGAGCACCTCAGAAATGACTTCTAATACAGTTAGTGACTGGAAGTGATACTATCCCTCCCTGTCATTGCTTAGCATGTGTGCTGTACTTCCTGAAAGCTCGCTGCTGAGCTGACTCTCAGCCAGCTGCTCTCTCTCTCCCTCCTTCTCTTCCCTTTTCCTTAAGGGTTCAGGTAGGGAGAGCAGAGCACTATGGGATAGTGGAGGATCCAAGTAAGGCTAGACTTTAAAATTAAGATGGGATACTTACCTTCCATGAAAAAGTTCCATTTTCAGCAAGTAAATTTTTTAAAGTCCAGTTCACCATTTTTATCAAGGGGTAAATTGTTTTAATGTTTGGTGGGTTAAATTTTGTATTTATTTATTTTAGTTTAGTTTATTAAATGTTAATTGAATGTTTAGCGCATTAAAATATCCGGCAGGGGCTTAAGATCACCTCATTCAAAATGATTGCTGTGCTGCGCTTTCCTGTTGCTGACTTTCAGAGAAAAAATCTTTGTTTAGAATGCAGGTTTGCAGATCTAATATAATAAGAGATGGCACTAGATCATATTTCAAGCTAAATCACTTTCTTCCTCTGTCTTCCTCAGCATGCTTTCTTCCTTAGAAAGGAAGCAAATCACCTTTAAATTTGCATTCCTAGAGGAAACCATCCTGAGTCATCTTTACATCCTCATATGCATCATTTTTCCCTTTGCCTGAGTTTTGAGGCATTGACATAATGTATTAACTAGCTTGTCTGAGCAGGGCCTTCTGTATCCTACAAAGGAGGAAATCAACAGATCTGGCCTTGGCTATATAATATTAAGATCACATCTGAGCTACTTAGACTGCTCGCTGTCCTTTATTCTTGATAATGACCAGAGTGATGTTGCTAAGCAACAGTTCAAAAATTCTGCTTCTTTTTAGGACTTCTCTAACTTTGGACTGCTCATTCTAAGTCAGAGGTTCTCAAACTCTGCGATACCATGACTCCCTGGCAGCCGACAGGGGGAGAGGAGTTTCCGTGTGTGCTTGCGCACCAGCGAAAGCACCGGTGGCGCACGGGTTTGGGACTCCCTTTTTAAGGTGCCTGTGACCCCCAGGGGGGTCACAACCCACTGTTTGAGAACCCCTGTTCTAAGTTATTGGTGTGGTCTAGGGGGCCTTGACTGTTTCTCATCATTGTGGTAGAGCAGCACCAAATTGTCATTTGGTCCTCATTTACCTCTGGTCATCACCCTAAGAATTGTGTTAAGTTACTTGGCTTTGCTAGATTGCTTTTAGATGCTTTAAAAACAGATTTCTGCCTTAGAGGGACTAATTTCCCACCTCGCGCTGCAGGGGCCTTTTTTTAATTAAGGCAGAAATTGACTGTTAGCTGTGAAGATGCCCTTGACCTTTGTGAAAAGAGCAAGGAGGGAGAATTATTTCAATTATTAATGTGGAGTGTTACAAACACACTTCTACTTTGATAGAAGCCTGCATTGTGCTCTGTCCCCAGGAACTCTTACCATTCTAATGAGTACTTAATATAAAACTTGAACACGCCTGAAACTAAATCAACCAAAACTTGGATAACTTTAGTGCAAGTTACCCTTCACGTGAATGAATGAAGATTGGCTTAACATAATACAGGCATACCTTGTTTTATTGTGCTTCGCTTTATTGCGCTTCGCAGATATTGCGTATTTTACAAATTGAGGCAAGACCCTCCACCAGCAAAAATACGACTCACTGAAGGCTCAGATGATGGTTAGCATTTTTTAGCAATAAAGTATTTTTTAATTAAGGTATGTACATTGTTTTTTTAGACATAATTCTATTGCACACTTAATAGACTACAGTATAGTGTAAACATAACTTTTATATGCACTGGGAAACCAAAAAATTCGTGTGACTTGCTTTATTGCGATATTCGCTTTATTGCGGTGGTCTGGAACCGAACCCGCAATATCTCTGAGGTATGCCTGTAGTGTTTCTTAACTATAGTCTGGATCCATCTCCCCCCCCCCC